AAAAGTAGTATTTACAGGTACAGTAGCAAAATAAAGGTAGGTTTATAATTACTAGCTAAGTTACAAAAGTAGAAAATCTAAGTTCAGAATGGTGTACATACATGTGGTCAGCTTGGAGGCATGATGATGGAGAGATGCCCAGGCAGGAAGGATGTAGTGTTGCAGCTTCCTGCCAAAGCAGACCAAGAAAGTGATCTCATAGAGTTCTCTTTAGCAAATGTTACTCAAAGTGGCAGATAAAAGACAAAACAGTGACCAGCAACACTGAAAACTGGATACTCTTCACCACTGTATTTGGTCCCATGACCCCTTGGAGCAGTGACTAATACAAGGCCAGAATTATTGTATTTTTATTTGTTTGTTTGTTTGTTTGTTTGTTTGTTTTAATTTTATAATTACAAAATTTTGCTTAAATCATACATCAGCCAAATCATGTCATATAGCAAACATTGCCATATTGTAGCATGCTAAGAATGTTCATAGCTATCATTTTATCCATTTTCTTCAAATTTCAGTATAGACAACTATCAATTTTGTTGGAATATCTGGAGTGTTCAGATTCTTTCTTACAAGTAATTTTGTTCACGACCATGGAATCCCACACTTTCCTTATCCACTGGCCTTTGGGAAATTACGGCTTATGCAGGTTTCGGTTATGACTATCCAAGCTGTTATCAATAGTGCTTTCTTTACTTTACACCCAATGTTGTGCCCAATACTTTTCTCCTATACATCAGTTGAAGGAGGAGTTGGAGTTACCTCCTCTGAGCTACCTTTTTATGGGAGGGGGGGTGCAGCAGAGGCAAATCACTGTCTATGGCCTTTAGTCAATACAAAAGATGATTTCTTTGCAATCCACGTTAATTTCATTCAAGAGAACTTCCATACTTGGGTTTATTTTGTATGTGCAATCAACCATGTACTTTGTGGGTCTCAACACAACAGTGCAAAGCTCCTTGTAGCAGGTGATTTGTAAATGCTGTTCTTTACACCATTAGGGCAGATTCTATCTAAGAGAATTTGACACACGCATGGCAAATGGAATCCTATTTTGGTATAGTTGAACTTGTGCAAACCATATTAGAAGTTGCTTGAGGAAACAGCTCAGCACTGCAGTTATCAAAGGATGCTCTGTTCTATGTTCCCCTGCTTTCTGAGTGAAGGGGGAGAGCAGGGCCTTATTATCTGCTCTGGGAGAAATGGCTGATCATCTCTCTAGATGAATTTAGGCACCTGTTCAGGACAATTATTTTTGTATGTGTTTTTACAAAGATGCTCTCTGATCTGAGTTACTTCTACAATGCAGCTGTTGAAATGGTAACATTATTTTACATTTTTGTTACCATTACTATTGGTTGTGAGCTGGTTTGGAACTCCTTTTGATATAAAGTTCAGGATATAACTCCCAAGGAGCAGTGGGGGGTGGGGTGGAGAGCACTCCATCTTCTCATTTACATTAAGACTCCTGGTAGGGGACTCTACTGAGCCATTAAAAGAGATTGGAATCCCAATTTTACTCATAAATTCACATCGAAAAGGTGGGGGCGAAGGAACCCATTGTTTAAACTGCCTTATTTGTAAATAGGACAGGAGTAATTAAAGAGCATTATGAGGCCATTAATCTGCCTCTTGGCTTTATATACCCAAAGATGGAGAATGGACAAAACAGCAAGGTTAAATTCAAAATAGAATAGCTCCATCTCACATCACACACACACACACATACACTGAACAAGCCCCTCAAAGGACACACGCTACAAAGTAATATTAAAACTCATCAAATAATATTGGCAGGCTCCTCCATTTTATCTGTTTGTTTGAACAGAGCCCTCCTCTTCACAGACATCATTTACCCCTCTTTTAAGCATTTGTTACTGAAAAGAAATCAGGCTAATAGAGCAATGTTATTGCAAACAACTCCTATGTATCCATTAGGGTTTCTTTATAGAGCCTGCCCTACATCTGCTGGTTCTATCAAATTATCCCTGTTCTTTGTGCCTGGCACTACGCTGGAAATGCCTGTAAAAGCTGCCATGATGCCTCTGGGCATCTTTCAGACACGTCAGAACCAGGTCAAGCCTTCTAGCTAAACATTGAGCATCTCTGGGTTGATCTTGTGATGTCGGAATGCACTTGTTTGGTGGTGCACAAGGATATTGCCTCCCGCTTGCCTTTCTCCCTTCCTTCCTCCTTCCTTACTTCCTTCCTTGAGGAAATGATATCAAGGCCTGACAAAATCCAGTTAGAACAGCTGTTATTTAGCCAGGAGATAGAGAATATAATCAGAATGTTTTAATGTAGGTAAGAGGTCTTCAGGGTTGATGTTCAAAGCATGTGAGCTGTTCTGTAGGCTGCTGTTCAGGAGCAGAAAGGCAAACATTTCTGATGAGTCTTCTCAACAGATCCATGTTACACAGAGTGCTATTTTTGAGCACTCCTCAGCCCTAGCTGTAGTTGGTTCAACTGCAATGTCATTATCTCATTCCACATGGCTGTAGTTGTCTTTCTGCTAGCTGCGAGAAAACACTGTGCTTTGAAAGTGGGAGGGAGCGGGGGAGAGAAAAGGAGGTTTCACAGCAGCATTGGACTAGAAGTGACATATTCAAATTGACAGAAAAAATCAAATATAATAGGCTTGGGTAGGTACTCCTTCACCTTGCTCCTTCTCCTCCCCTTTCTCTTGAATGCTGTGCGGAGGGCAGTTAAATTTGTTCCACATGCCACAGTGTCAGCAAAGGAATGTAGAATCTTTGCACAGATGGCAGAGTCAAAGTTCGCTGAGGCTGTCCTGTTCTGACCTACTTCATTTGTTTATTTTTTCATTCAACTCTGAGCATCTTGTATCAGGTCTGGAATACCCAGAGCCAGGTGTCTTATGCCTATAATCTGTGCTTCCCTTGGCTTTTGGCAGATAAAATAGACTCCAAATTTCTCTCTTTAGTGAAGCAGGGGGTCATAATTTGTTTAAAGCCAAAAGAGAGCCTCAGAAAAGAACTGTGGTTTCCAAGAACGAAGATCAACTCTTTCAGTTCCGTAAGATTCTGGGTTTAAATGGGATGCTCTTCCTAAGCTCTTCTGTAGGACTGGAGGGGTAGAGCATCTGTTTGACTGAATGGGCACCTGTTTCTGCAATTGCATGCATGAGGCAGGCCTCAGTCACACTGATACAGTGGTAGAGTGTATGAGAACCAGTAGACTGAAGCTGAATCCTACTTAGACGGAAACACTGTGGGTGAGTGGTTCGCAGATTCGAGAACTGGGAAATTTGCTTGTTCTAGACTGAGTTGCACTCCCTCTGGAAGAGCAGGTATGCAGTTCAGAGGTGCTCTTTGAACCATCATTTGTCCATTGAGTTCCAGCTGGCCTTGGTCACAAAGAGCACCTATCACTAACTCCGATTGCTGCGCCAACTGCACATCTTTCTGAACAGTGACAATTGGGCCACTGCAACACATTGTCGAGTTTAGAGTCTTGCTTTTTTGCACTACATGGGGATTTCTTTGAAGCTAGGATCCAGGGGCTACAGTGGGTGCAAAATGCCTCATACAGAGCAGTGAGCGGTGCTCCTTATAGGGGACATATGCTCAGGGATCTGCACTGGCAGCCCAGCCACCACGAAACCAGCCCTAAACAACTCTGGACCAGGTTACCTGAAATCCGTTTTTCCTCTGCACTGCACTGGAAACAAGCTGCCCAGCTCTACCTTTTCCTTCTCTCTGAAGTGAAAAATAAAATACCTGAGCTCCTCTCAAAGGATGCTGTTCTTAAGGTTGGGATTCACGAAACATCTCCACATTGTTGTAATTCCTGCGATTTTTATTTATTTATTTTTTTACAATCTTTGCATTTACCTGCCATGTATCCTAACTTGGTGAAACAATATTACTGTCACTATTTACGTTCTAGTCTTCTATTTGAAGAGTTTTAATCAAATAGAATAGAAATATTTCTGTTATCAAAAAGGAATTGATCAGAACTCACCCTACAATCTAGGGTTCAGAATACCGCTAGGTCATGCAACAGTTAAATTAATGGAACTATTTAAAATATACAAGATACGTTCAGATAGTTGCCTCTTCACATTAATATACGCACCCCTTTGTACATGTAACACACCGCACACCTAATTTCAAGCAAGGCACTGGTTACATCGAAGAACCGGGATCTCTACCCCAGAGAGCTTACGATTTGAAAGAGTTTGTGCTTTGGAATCAGTCTCCAGCGACTAGCGAGCGTTTTTCTACAAGCCACTGTACAGAGGAGCCTCCTCGTCCCAGAGCATTTGAAATCCTCCAGCGCAGGACGCATCCGCAAGAGGATGGAGAACGAACCGAAGGAGAGCTGCGAAAAGGCTCTCGGCATAGGTAACAGAAAGGACCCGAAGGAGAGAGACTCAGGGCAGGCAGGAGACGTCGACTGCCTCCGCCGAGCCGAGGATGCTCCTTGTCTGCGAGAGGCTCGCCATCCCTTCTTCCCCGCGGCCTCTCCGCCTCGCCTCGCCGACGATTCCCTCCGCCCGCATCTCTGCGTAATGACGCGCAGGGAGAGCAGGCAGGCAGGCAGGCAGGCAAAGCTGGGGAGTAGGAGGAGGAGAAGGAGGTGGGCAGAGTGCGAGCGGGAGGCGGAGAGGAGCCGACCGAGCATTTAAAGCGGCAGCCCAGTCTCTCTTTCGCCCAGTAGCGCGCCCAGGCAGGCAGACAGGCGAGCGCGGTCGGGAAGCAGCGCGCCGACGGCAGCAGCCCGGAGCTGGACCTCCCCGCCCTACCAGACCCGCCCCGGCCCGCCCCTCGGGGGAATCCTCGCTCGCTCGCGGCAGGAGGCGCCCGGACCCCCGGCTGGCTGGCGGCTGCTGGAACAGCGGCGTTCCCTCCTTCCTGCTCGTGGTAGCCTGGGTGCCCACCATGCTCCAGCCGGGGAGGCTGTGGCAGCTGCTGACTTTGATGAAGTTGCCCTGGTGCCTGCTGGAGTTCCTGTTGTCGGCGGTGGCGCAAGGCCAGGAGATGTACGCCCCGCACTCCATCCGCCTGGAGGGCGACATCACCCTGGGCGGCCTCTTCCCCGTCCACGCCAAGGGCCCCACCGGCGTGCCGTGCGGGGACATCAAGAAGGAGAACGGCATCCACCGCCTGGAGGCCATGCTCTACGCCCTGGACCAGATCAACAGCGACCCCGAGCTCTTGCCCAACGTCACCCTGGGCGCCAGGATCTTGGACACCTGCTCCAGGGATACGTACGCGCTGGAGCAGTCGCTCACCTTCGTGCAGGCGCTGATCCAGAAGGACACCTCCGACGTGAGGTGCACCAACGGGGAGCCGCCGGTCTTCGTCAAGCCGGAGAAAGTGGTGGGCGTCATCGGGGCGTCGGGCAGCTCCGTCTCCATCATGGTGGCCAACATCTTGAGGCTCTTCCAGGTAGGGCGCTCCGCGGAGGCTCCAGCATCAGGTTGTTGGCGCCAGAAATGGCCAGAGAGCCCTGGCACGCGGGCTGGCAGGGAGTGGTGCTGAAGGAGAGCGCCAGCCGCGGGCATGGCAGAGAGCAGCCCCAGCAATGGAAACCAACCAACTTGGCATTGGGCTGTAGGATCACTAGACTCGAGGGCTTCCTTAGGACCAGGATGCCCAGCGTTAGATAATCCACCCCATCCCACTTCCCTCCTGCAGGCAGTTCACACGCTCCCATCCCCCGGGGAGTTTGCTGCTCTGCTCTTTGCCTTCCCCAGCGCTCCCATCTCTCTTTTCCCAGCCGCCTCTTCCCTCCTTGGAAATCAGAGGCGCCCTCCCTTCCAGCACGTATCCTCGGGATTTTTCTCCTGACACTCTCTGGATTTATGATCCCATTTTCAAGAATCAATCAGTGAATCAAGACGACGGAGGGGGGAGACGCAAGGCGATGATTTCAATGGGTTTGCATTAGAGTGAAATATGGCTTGGCTAAAGGCGACCGGTTCCCCGCCAAGCTCTCAGTTCAGTGATAGAAAGAGGCGAGCTGTTGGGTGAGGAGGGGGCAGCTTCCACGAAACGGCGAGGAAACAAGCCGCCACTTTTCGGCTTAGGGGCTGGAGGAATAACCCTGCTGGTTAATAAGAGGAAAAACAGGGGCACCGCGTGGCGGTGGCACTGAAATCCGTATTCAGCTCGGTCGTCTTCTTCATTGATTTCTGTTCTGGTTTAAATTCCCATCCTTTCCAAGAGTATGTGTATCTGTTTCTGTGACACACACTCTCTCTTTCTATCTCGTTTTGCTGAGTGTGCTAGGACAATTTCAATATGGGCATAATCTTTGCCTACCCGGGAGGGTAGAATACAAAGCATAGTTGGAACCGATGAATAGATAAGATCGATTTGGAAAGGGATCTTGTATGGAACCCAACCGTTCCCATCAGCCCGGACAACAGGTCAGTTTATCTGGCTGGCTAGTCCATTTCGGCATCTGAATCAGCGTGTGTATGAGTGCTCCTGCTGCAGGGAGATATCCCCCTTCTTTCCCCAACTGCGAATGCCCGGAGCCTTTCATTCCTCCCTCGAGTTGTGAGAGATGGCGGTGAAAACCGGATTAAAAGATTGGTGCTGGCGATGGTTTGCGGTGTGCGCGCGCGCCTGTGTTGCTGCAGTGCTTTGCCCCCATGTGCGCTGGTTTTTATTTTTCATGCATTTCTCTTGGCTCGCTCCTATAAACTGAAGTTCCCCTTGCCCCTTCGGATATCAAGCTGCGGTTTCGACGGGTCCGTGTCCAACAATTGCGCTGACAGCACGCGCGTCCCCTTTCTAGCCCAAGTTGCGCTTCCGAGTTAAAGCCCATCCCACTAAAAAACAAAACAAACCACCTAAACCACCCCCCGTTTCCAAGCTGCCTACAATCTCGATGGGAAAGGCGGGAGACAGAGCACAATCCTGATTCTAGCAGTCAATGGCCTTCTCACGAGAGAGAGAGAGAGAGAGAGAGAGAATTAACCGACAGCAAAGGCGTTTCTGCAATTCGGATAGGGGATACTTCTACCTTGGAAAGTGTGTGTGCGTTTGTGTGTGTGTGTTTGCAATAGCTGATTTGTAAATTGAAACTCCAGATGATTCCATCTTGGACATAAGAAGCACTTGTGTGTTATAGGGAGGGGAAGAAAAAGAGCTCCCCGGGACACAGAGTCGGGGCACTTCCCCGCCGTCCGCCCTCGCAACACCTTGTAATTCCGCGTCTAATTGGCAAATGGCAACTGTTCCCTGGAAGGCGGAGCGCAGAGAGGGAGCAGGCGGCTTTTGCTGCTGAGAGCGAGGGGGAAGGACAGGCTGGGCTGGGTTGCCCGGAGCGGAGCGACGCCTCAACTTGTGGCTCGCAGCGTGAAGTTGGGCTCCTCCACTTGTCCTCGTTTGGCGCCGTTGGTTCAGCGCGGGTTCCCCACCCCTCGTCCCCCCAGCAGGGCTGCCTTTCCTGGCTGCGTTTCCTGAGGCGGCGAACGCCCTGCTCCGGCTGCTCTGCTCTCGCCTAGCCTGGGGGCGGTGTGAGGAGGGAGAAATCTGGTGGTGATCCGGTCTTGCCTCTGGGCTCCGTGCCTCTGCACCAGGTGGGAAGAAGGGAGGAGCAGGTGCTGCTGCCACTGCCCAAGGATGTCCGATTCCTGGATCTTCCTTCTTTCTTCCGTTTTCCGCAAGCCAGGAGGTGGAGGATGGGAGGGCTCAGCCGGCTTTCCCGTTGCTTCTGGCATCTGAGCTTTGCAGGCATCTCTCCAGGAAGAGCTTGCTCGTTCAGAGCGGAGCTTTACAACTTGGGAACTGCCAACTTGGGAAGCTCAGCTGCTGCTTCCCAATTATCGTCATCCTGGAGGGAGTAACAAAGCCACCAGCAGCCACAGCAGGGTCTTTCTTGCGACAGGGTGGGTTTTCTAGTTGTTCTATAATATGTGGGTGTTTTGAATATTATTATTTCAATTTTTGTAACAGGCAGAATTTTTTCATTTGAAATCCAATGAAACTTTTTTTAAAGGATGTTGGAACAGTGATAGCACTAGAAAATATAGGAGGCGCATGGGCACAGAAAGGGCAAAATATTTTTCAAGGTGGGCGAGTTGTGTCCCACATGTAAAGATCTGCGACAGAAATATATGTTAATCATAGGCATTCAATAATGGGGGTGGGGGCGCCAAACTCCTTCAGATGTCTTCTAAAGGTTATATAGTTCCACATCTCCTTGATATCTGATTTGTTCCACATGGTGGGTGCCACTACTGAGAAGGCCCTCTGCCTTTCCTCCCTGTAGCTTCAATTCTTACAGGGAGGGAACCGTCAGAAGGCCCTCAGTGCTGGATCTCAGTATCCAGGCATACTTTTATGGAGACATTTCCTTCCCACAGCAGTTCCTCCCTTCAATCTTCTGTTTCATCTATGCAATCATGAAATGTCTGCTGTATTTCCAGTATGTTGATCTTATATAACATGTCAGGAAGGCAAGAGTAAAACTTGTCTTCACACAATAAATTAAGACACACACACGTCTTCGACATCCCCTGATCTCATTATGTCATCACTCTGCTGCCGCCACCCTGCCAGAAACTGCTGTTCTGGATACGAATATTTTACAGGTGTGCATTACTACAACTTGAAGTTCATATCCCATCATTCCTCTTCATGGACTGCTCAAGAGTCACATTCTTCATCCCCAACACAGCTGCCTCTTTGAAAAGGTCTCTGGAAATTGACTGCAGACAAGAGAGGAAATGTAGCACTACTATTAGAGTACTGTGTTGCTCTGGATGTGCAGCAGGTTAGGGTAGCAGAAGATCTTGTCATGCTTACCACGTTTCTTCCTAGGCCTTCAGCATATGTGCCCATGTACTTCAAATCCACTTTGGTTTTAGCCAAAGACACTATAGAGGTGTGGCTTCCTCATGTGCAAGAGTGGAAGCCCCCAGTTCAAGTCTCCTCCTCCGCCATGAAATTGGCTGAGTCTTTAGGCAAACTACTCTACCCCAGTTCCCTCATCTGCAATGCAGGGGTTATGATACTGGCCTGACTTACAGAGCTTTGCAATAAAAATGATGGTGATGAGGGTAAGTATGGATGGAGAGAGCTAGAAGACAAAAGTGTCTTGAGTTTATTCTTCATTGCAATAGGGCTAAACACAGCATTCTTTCAGAATCAAGCAAATGATATATTACTTTCCGTGTTCCACAAACGATCTGTCTCCTCGCAAATCTGTTAAGATCTCGCTCTTCAAAAATATTCATATTTCTCAGATAGTGATTTTAAAAATCACAAAACCAAACAGCCTCCCCTATCATTTTGGATTATACTATATACACAAAAGAATCCCACATTTATACATGGGGCATTGACATAATTAAGAGGGAACTAATATCATATTTCCCAGGGGAACTGATGCTGCAGGATTCATTGCCACTTGGGAAAGATGGCTATTTATTTACATGAAGGCTCTGAATACCCCCCTGATGCATTTGGTAGTAGTATGTTGCTTGCAGGCTTGGGATCAATTCAAATTATTATTTTCCATTAGAAAAGTTCATTATGATGTACATAAACAGAATATAGAGCATTTTTTATTTCTGCTTTCAGTTAGGCAAAGTTGTATGTTGGAGGACAAATGTCTATGGGGGCCCCCAGAGATACATTTCCCATTTTACTGAAGAAGAGCTTTTTTCATTTACCTGCTTAAAAAATCTTTAGCCTTGTTGTTGTCAGATGTAGAGAAGCCAAGAGCCCTAAGTGACCAGGACACTTTAGGAATATTTTGGAGTAATGCAAGAAATGGATATTTGCATAGTTTTCTGTTGCTGTTGTTGGTTCAGTTTGTTGGATGGTTCTCTGCCAATGCTCACCTTGTATCTCAGGAAGCGGTGGAGGAATTGTTAACATACAGCAGTTCGCTGAGACAAGTTGGCAACATCCTCAGAATATAACTCTGACAAATGTATCGCATAATTTCCTCCCTTATGTGCTCTTGCCTGAATTTGCATAGAATGGGAATTTCGTAACTATTGTGTCCTCCTTCAGAGAATTGTGGTTTGTTTAAACCAGCTGTGGTTAACTTTTTCTAGCTTGAGGGCTACACTGACAATCAGCCACCCCTCTAAGGGCCAAATGCTAGTGGTGGGCATGGCCAATGTGTACGTGTACACATACAATTCCCATACATTCTAGATTCAGGTAGGTAGCCGTGTTGGTGTGACACAGTAGAAATAAATAAAAAATTGTCCAGTAGCACCTTAGAGACCAACAAAGTTTGTTCTGGGTATAAGCTTTCAGGTGCATGCACACTTCTTCAGATACCCATACAATTCCCATACAGTTCACACACACATACTCATACTCACTATACAGTGGTACCTCAGGTTACAGACGTTTCAGGTTACAGACCCCGCTAACGCAGAAATAGTACCTCGGGTTAAGAACTTTGCTTCAGGATGAGAACAGAAATAGCGTGGCGGTGGCACAGCAGCAGCAGGAGGCCCCATTAGCTAAAGTGGTACACATACAATTCCCATACAGGTTAAGAACAGTTTTAGTTTAAGAACAGAGCTCCAGAACGAATTAAGTTCTTAACCTGAGGTACATACTTTCCCTCCACACAAACTTTCACATAACAGTAGATTGTGGTTTTCCATTACATCAGAACAGGATCATTATCAGACAGGCTTTGTGGAATGAAAACATCTGGCAATGTACCGGTATATGTCAATAAATATCATCTTAGGCATTATATAGGTTTGTGATTTACAGCCTGCAAAGTTTAATGTGGCCTAGTCTGCATGACATGGTAAGCCAAACTATGGCTCAGTGAGATTATGGCTGGGTGAGCTGTTGGAGAGATGCTTTGCGCCTCTCAGGTCCTTTTGAATACTATATGTTCTTTGCTGCAGCTCAGTTAGAGGGGAGATGGTTTGACCACAAGTCCTGTTTCAGATGACTCACTAAACCAAAGTTTGGTTTAGTTTAGCCTGGCAGAAGAAAGGCTTGGGGAGCAGCAAAGCAGCTGTAAGCGTTTCTCTTGGGGGGCCTCTATTTTTGCATAGTCTCACTAAGCCATACCATGTCGTGGGAAACAGGTCTGTGTGCTACCTGTGTAAATAAGCCAGTACAGGTAAAACACGACACGTAAAACTTACATGTAATTTCAAGCACAGGGCCTTTCAGTGGGGCCAAGCCTATTCTATGTTGAATGTGTAGTGTGCGCCTACCCTCTTTGGTTTGGGTGCAGGCAGTTCCAACAAAACCCAGCCCCCTCCTTTCATGGCTATGGGCCGTAGACAATAAATTGCTGTTGGTGTACATGGGAATTCCTGCCCCCTCAAGCCCCATAGCTGCAGGGGTGCAGGATTTTTGTCTAGATCACAGCTGGGGAGGGAAAAGATAAACCTCTTCTCCCCATGGCCTGTGCACGTTGTCCCACTACATGTTACAATTGATTAAAGAGAAGTGGATAAAATAAAACTGACCTCCTTGGAAACTAGCCTTCAGGATGATAAGGAATACTTGTTAATGAGGACTCACCGAACAGAAAGCTCTTTCCAAGAGGCTGGTTGAACTAGAACTGGGAATGGCAAAGACTGTATGAACCATCAGAGAGCTTTTCCCATTCTCTAGCTGTGGGGCACCTTGTCCACAGAGAGTTGCCCTAGATGGTTTGTCCACATGCCTACCGCTGCTACTAGGAAAATTGCACATTTTCTCATTTGGGCCCCTCCCTGTTACTCTCCGTTTTTGCTCACTGAATGGAGATTATGATCTGGAGACTTCTCCTTTCCCAGCTCCCATCCTCTTTGTTTTCTTGGCTCTGTACTATATTAATTTTTATGAAAGTAATATTGATTACACTTGAGATGGCACCATGCTAATAGGATAAACCTGCAGACAATACGTTCTGAGTTTTCTTCTCTAAAAATTGGTTTCACTTGGAGGCACTGATCCATCCTACAAACCGCACCATATCAGATGCTGTTATTTCTATTTATAGCAATATGCTAATTAATCTCAATGAGTGACAATGGAGAGTGTCCTGGGGATAGGAATATGATGAATTTTGTCATAATATTGAGAGAGATGAAGCATATAATTAAAGCCATTTGAGAAGCATAATACAATCAGAGCGCTGGAGGTGTATGAATATCCTGGACAATCAGGAAGAAAGTGGTAGAAAAGAATTCGGCTTTTGTAAGCACAGTCATTTGGTCATGAAAGCATAAGAGGCCCACATAGCATCTCATATAACAGTTCTGTACACATGTACTCCCAGGAAAGTGAGTATAAGATGGTAGACTTAGTAAACAAACTCTTACCCTCAGACACCATGGAAGAAGGAAAGTAGAGCCAGTTTTCTTGTCAAAGACTGGATGAGAAAAGCAAGTTTCCCCTTCCCCCAGTGGCTAACATCTGGACATCTGGTTGGAGAAATGAACTGAAAGTCATCTACATAGCCATCTACTTTGAGAACGAGATATTCCCAGCCAGTATAATGGGGTTACCTGATCTCAAGAGGCAGACCACTGTATTTGGCTTCATAATGTTTGACAGTATATATGTGTGTGTGGTTTATAAATACTTATAAATAAATATGTATCCTGGAATGTGATTGCTGGTCCTCAGTATTATTTGCCCAGAAGCTACCAGAAACTAAAGATTCCCAGATGTAAAACTCCATAAGTGAGATTCTCTCCTCAAGACTAGGGTGACTGCAAGAAAAGGGATGACTTGAATAAATAAGTGTGGGGTGCTTTTCTAACAGCTGCAGCACTGCTATAGAGTAATCAACACTCATTGAACCTGCCTCAACGTCTTTATTAAAGGTCTGGGAGCCTCGTCCAACCTGGCCACCCTACATAAGCCTTGGAAATGATGGCCTATTCAAGCAGAAACCGAGAGTCCTGATCATTGCTCATACTACACTACATCTAAAGAGTGAGCAATTTCTAATCAGCTATCAAGTGTTCCGACTAGAACAGAACTGTGTGTAATCTCTTGCTGAGTCACGAAAGTGCAGGAACTGACACCGAGTGCAGAATTCTTAAGTTCTGTTTACTGTTTGTAAGCACAAGACATCACAATTTAAAATCACAAAGGAAGAAAACGGAAGCGTTGCCTCCTCATTCTGCTCCCGCTCTGCTCTGTGTCATTCCACCCTCACCCCACCCTTTTAGTGATGTCATTCATGATGTTTCTGGATCACTTCTGGGTTTGGAACATGTGTGTGATTGCGCACATATTGGTCATGCCTAAAATGGGGGTTGCCTTTACTGTGTAGGTAGCTGCGTACTAGCCCAGAAGTGTGTGTGTGGGGGGGGACTAAAAAAAAGAAAGGTACCAAATAGCATTGGAGGTTCGATGTAACAGGTTGTTGTTGTTGTTGTTGTTGTTGTTGTTGTGTCATTAACCTAATTGTGCTGGTTTCTCACCTTCCATTCAGACCAGCAGGAATTAACACAAGCATTATCATAGATCCCTTGAGGCTTGCAGGTGTCCAGTGTGCTGATTCAGCAAGCCTAACTAGGCCTTGGAATGCTTCTGTTTGAAATCAGACTTTGAGTTGCAAAGACTTTTTAAATTACAAATCGGTTTTCTTCTCAAGATTCAGCTGCAGAGGTGGCAGAAGATAAACAAAAGGGTCGCTGTGAAAGAATTCAGATGATTAGTTTTAAGCTTACTATTACATTGCAGAATATGGCTTTGTTACCATATGGTCCATCAAGATTCCCACAGAATCTAGCAGCAAATTCAAAGTTACATTAGGGCAGTTTTATCAGTGAATCCTTCAGCTGGAAGTGTTTACCAGAATGCCCAGGGGAACTGGCAGGCTCTGTAAGATTTCATTCTTCACTTCCCAGAAGCATACTTTTCTCCACTAACACCCTGCTTTGGGCTATAATTTCACTTTTGTTTTTAGGTTTTCCATCATATCTCCTACTTTCCCCTCTTTCCCTTAATTGAGACCTTACACGGCCACAATAGGAGACTTCATTTACAACTCCTGCTTATAGAACATCAGTCCTTGTTTGCTGCTATCTTCTGAAGTTTCCTGTGTCACATCCAAGCAAATGTTTCACGAGTGCAAAGTCTACCACCCTTTCTCAAACTTGGGTCCCCAACGTACCCTCCAACATTTCTCTGATGAAAATAGGGATGTCCCATTCCATAATGATAATTTTACTCTTTATAGCCCCTCCCCCCATCTTACTGGGTTGCCCCAACCACTCTGGGCAGCTTCCAACATATATAAAAACATAATAAAACATTAAACATTTTTAAAAACTTCCCTCTGCAGGATTGCCTTCAGACGGCTTGGGGGGTCAGAAAACTCACTACCCTCCATCATTTCTCCAATGAAAATAGGGACATCCTAAGGAAAAGTGGGACATTCTGGGATCAAATCAGAAACTGGGACGGCTTCTCTAAATCAGGGATGTCCCTGGAAAATAGGGACACTTGGAGGTTGTGCCCCAGCTGTTGTTGGACTAAAGCTCCCATCAACCCTGATCACTGGTCTAGTCATTGTCTTTGTTATTTACTCCAAATAAGTGATCAAAAGTCATGAGATCTTGATCCTGTTCTCTTTACAGTGGTACCTTGGGTTACATACGCTTCAGGTTAGAGACTCCGCTAATCCAGAAATATTACCTCGGGTTAAGAACTTTGCTTCAAGATGAGAACAGAAATCATGCTCCTGTGGCGCAACGGCAGCAGGAGGCCCCATTAGCTAAAGTGGTGCTTCAGGTTAAGGACAATTTCAGGTTAAGAACAGACCTCCGGAACGAATTAAGTACTTAACCCAAGGTACCACTGTATTTTATTTTATTTTATTGAAATTCATGAATAACATACACACTCTTAAATAAACAAAAATGAAAACAATCATATACTAATAGTATTATGCATGTTTACAGAAATTAAATCTAAATTAAATTTGTACAATCTCCTTTTCCCTATCTTTTTGCTAACATAAAATAGGCTTCCTATCATTTCCCAATGCATATAATCTTTCTGATGTTGAATGTAGTTATTGTTATTACCTCACTCTTGATCCTGTTCTTAGCCAGCCAAAATCATATTCCACCATAGCATAGGAGGGTTGCCATGTTGTGGGAGAGGGGGAGGCAGAGTTCCTGCACTTTTAATCACTGCATTATTGCCCCAGGTGTTTCCCGTCACAGCATCTTCATTATGCCAAAAATACACCTGTTGAATTTCTGCCTGTACGACCACTGATAAATCATACATAGGAGCTCTGCAGAAAAAAGTGGTGGCAAGATGGGCATGCCAGTTCACAGCGGGGGAGGAAAATAGCACCAGAAAAGCATCTTATTCTTTGCAGATGAAATCTTTTGTTCAAGAAATAAAAATATTTTGTTCAGCATGCCTCAGCAAAACAAGCAAACAACAGCTAACCTCAATAATGAGCTAGCATTGCAGAGTTCTGTCATTTCAAGAATCTGGAATTGCAAAGTATTTAGGGACATGTTCTTCATGTCCATTCAGTAGTATTTCAGCAACCAATATGGGATGAAATTCCCACTCACTCAGTGCCTGTACCTGCAAGACTTTCTGCACTTGCTTTGAATGCAAAATACATCAGCGGTGAATCAAATGGAAATGTGCCTACCAGTATTGTGACCACCATTTCTGCATAGTCTCTGAACTCGGGTACTCACTCTTGAGCCTAAAGATTCTTGCAGCTGGCCCAGAGTCCTCAAGTGGAACATCTTGAGCAATGCACTATCATCCATCCTCAGTCCAGTCACTAAAACGGTGATAATAATTGCCCACTTCATTGCGTTCTTGTGACTGATAATGCTTTATAATGAGATATGGATTAAAACATTTTGCACATTAAAAGTCCTATAAAATGTAATTAAGTCTTAGAGAAGCCTGTGAAAAACATGGGCTGTGTCTTTCTTTATTAGCATGCTTTGAATTTTGCTGTTGCTCTAAATGGAACATGGGAAAGGGCTGCATATGGAGTCAGACCATTTGTTCATTTAGCATTACAGCTCAGTATTGTCCACACTAATTTATTGTTCGACTACAGCATCTCTACAGGTTTTCAGACAGGAACTTTTTCAGTTGTTCTTGGAGATTCCTGTCACTTAACTGGGAACTCCTGCATGCAATACACTATTATTAATAAGTATTATTTAATGTTACATTACTACTACAACTTATTTCATGCCGAATAAAAACCATCTCTGGGCAACTTACATATATTACATTGCAACTTGACTTCCATTTACAACTTGAGCTTCTCCACTCAGCTATGACCCTCCTTTTACCAATTTGCAAGTTTAAAAATTTACCAGGTGTTTCTCTCTGTGTGATGGCAAATGCCCTGTGGGGCAGGGGCTGGGGAGAAGAGAGGAGAGAGAAGGGCGAGGACTCAATGTGAGCATATGTCACGAGCTTCCTTGCAGCAGTGATGTGACTCAGTAGATGTGGAGCTCGCTTGGGCTCAGGTCACAAAGGAAGAGAGCCTCTATCCAACTACTCGTGATGGGACAGTTGACTGCTTTCTACCAGCTTTTCTGCTCCTGTCTCATTAGCAACAGCCTGGCACACAAAAAGTAAACATTCTCCATCTGACCATTCTCATGCACATGAGTTCCAGGGGAAAGTATATTGTACAAAGTGGCATGGAATGAATTTATTCCCACTCTGATTTCTGTGATGGCAGCAGAACACACTGCAGTGCAGGTGTGCAAACTGACCCTTAGATGGACATTCTTGACCACTGTGGCCAGTGTCTGTCCATTCACAGGAATCATAGAGTTGGAAGGGATCCCCAAGGTCATCTGTTCCAATCCCCTGCAATGCAGGAATCTCAACTAAAGCATTCAAGACAGATGGCCATTCAACCTCAGCTCAAAAACCTCCAAAAAAGGAGAGTCCACAAACTCCTGAGGGAGACCTTTCCACTGTCACAGATCTTACTGTCAGAAAGTTCTTCCTGATGTTAAGTCAGAATCTCCTTTCTGTTAACTGAAACAAGCTTTCTCCATCTTCCATGTGACAGCCCTTGAGATATTGGATGATGACTATCATATCTCCTCTCAGTCTCCTCTTATCCAGGCTAAACATACCCAACTTCCTCAACTGTTCCTCATAAGGCTTGGTTTCCAGACCTGTGATCATCTTGGTTGCCCTCCTCTGCACCCGTTCCAGCTTGTCAACATCCTTCTTAAACTGTGGTGCCCAGAAATGGTGGTCTGACCAAGGCAGAACAGAGTGGTACTATTACTTCCCTTGATCAGGACACTAGACTTCTGTTGATGCAGCCTAGAACAGCATTAGCTTTTTTTGCTGCTGCATCACACTGTTGACTCATGTTAAGCCTGTGGTCCACTAAGACCCCTAGATCTTTTTCACAAGTACTACTGGCAAGCTGCTCTTTGTGCAGCTGGTTCCTCCTGCCTTACATTTGTCCCTATTGGAACTCATTTTGTTAGTTTGGGCCCAGTTCTCCAATTTGTTGAGGTCATTTTGAATCCCGATTCTGTCTTCTGCAGCATTAGTGATGAGATACCTCTGATGTGCACAACAGAAGTGTTCCATGTTCCCTGCATGGGCACCACAACTTTGAAGCATAACCTTGCACCCAGTAGGATACAGTCTACGTGTGACACCATCCTGCTAGTTAGGGTGAAATGAACTGAATTACGTTGATAAATAGCAAGGTAAAATTCATTTCCACTTTGTTCTCATAATTCCCCCCCCCATCCGAAGCCTGCAGTTAAATCACTGCTTTAATATCCAGCACACAAGATTAATAAGTCATTCTTTTCTTAATTGATTGTGATATCCAGAAACACTTTATAATAGAGTAAATGAAGACTGGGTAGTGATATACACAAGAGAGTCCCTGACTTAGGTCAAAAGAACTTCCTGACTACCAGTGCCCCAGGGGCTCTTATATTTTTCAACAAACCTCTCCATATTATGAACTCTAGTAGAATCCAATGAAGGATCCTGAGAAGAGCACCTCCTCAGGGACTCCAATTGGCTGCTAGTCCACAAAGCTCCTGTAGAGCATATGGCCCCCTGGAGCCCCCCAGGATATTCTAAGGGGGTCGCAGGCGAAAATTGCACAAGTGGGGGGCACAACACAAGGCTAGGGGGCCACATATGTTTTTCTTGGAGCAGTCCTGGTTTGTTTCTGGCAGGAGAGAGCAATCACCGAGGCTCCACTTTGACCAGCAAAGCCCACAATCCAGAATCCCCAAGTTAGGCAAGTGCAGTGGCAATGAGTAGGGCTGGGCAAGCCGGAACTGCTTGTTGCTGCCACCAGTGCTGGGCCCGGTGGGCCTGACTCCACAAGGCGCAGGGTGCAATCTACTCCAGCGTCTAATGTATCAGGGCCTTTGGATGTTGCTGAGAGGCGCAGAGCCCATTGGAAGCATCAGACCGACTCTGCAAGTCATGGGGTGAAATGCACCCCAGCGCCTAGCTGAGTGGGGTCGCCTGGTGTTGCTGAGTTGCATATAGTAAATAACTAAGTGTCTGCTCAGGAGACAGCTGCACTGAGTTCAGTGGGCCTTACTCCCAGGTAAGGGTGTGTGGGACTATAATGTTTTATCTAGGCAGCCAGGGCTCCTCCTGATGACAAGATCTTTTTGCACCTGTTCAGTGAGGAGCACTTGTTTTTTAAAATTCTCCCATGCATACAGAATGCCCTGTGCACCTTTTGGACTGTACCTGTAGGTTTCCCCCTCTGTGGCAAATAACTGGGGTCAAATAAGTGTTGTTTACTTTTTATGGAAGATGGATCTCCCTTGGGAGGTTCTGGACTCTCCTTCCTTGGAGGTTTCTAAGCAGAGGTTGGGTGGCCATCTGTCATGGAGTTTCCTACATTGCAGGGGGGGTTGCAATAGAAAGATGACCCTTGGGGTCCCTTCCAGCTCCATGATTCTCTGTTTTTCTGCTTCAACAATATTTCATTATGCTCCTGTCATTTTTATGTAATTGTCTTTTGTATAAATTATAAAAATTATAAATAAAACATGTTCTATTTACAAACAAAACATTTATCGTATTTTTCTGTGTATAAGACTATATTTCCCCCCTATTTTTTCAAGTTTAAAATGGGGGGGGGGGTCATCTTATACATGGATAGTGCATATGGGGGATTTCTTTATTTGGAGTCCCAAAAACAGGAGTTGTGTTATACATGGTGGCGTGTTAGACACGGAAAATCACGGTAAATACCTACCTTTCTATTGGTAGGATAGGGGAGCATGGGCATAGTCAGGATTTTTGTTAGGGGGGCAGGCTTTTGTTAGGGAGGGCATAACCTCAGATTTGTATTGATTTTTACTTATTGGGGGGCAGCTGCTCCCTTGCCCATGCCCGGGGGGGAGGGGGTGGCACAGGAAGGAAACAAGGCCAGAAACAGGTTGGCAAATACTGATGTAGAAAACATTCTCTCAAGATCCGTCTTTCAGCCCTCTCCTTGCTTGGTGCTTTAGATACCACTGGATTTCAGCCAGCGTGTCTCATATATTAGGAGATTTAGTTTTAACTGTCTTGACTTACCTGCAACTTCACCATTGCCTTTCAGAACCGTATTTGATGTTTTAAAAGCCTAGGAGGTAAATTTCTTAACACTGTAAGGCAAAGGTTGATCTGGAGGTGAACCAGCACCACAGTGCATTCCGACAGCGTTCATCTTTTAGAGGTTTCACAGGGGGGAAATTCTGCAGAAAGTTCAGCTAAGAGGCTACTGTTTTGTCTCTGGAGAAAAGCATCATGGGAAGCGGGGAAGCACCTGGTCCTGGTCCATTGACTAGAGAAGGAGCCGCTGCAGAGAGCTTGCTTTGTAATTGATAACCTTTATTTAGAGTATACCCTTCTTTCCCACTCCCTAAAGGAATTTATCAATGCAGCTTACAAATATGAAAGCAAACATAAGAAGAACAGTGAATCAACAAGTAAAAAACAAACGATCAAACTAAAAACCACAGCAAAAGAACAGAAAGAGGAGCACTCACAATCAGCACACTTAGCAGCAAGAGATGGTAAAGTGTACTGTATTTTAAAAGGAATCTTTTCAATTGCCAGCAGAACACCAAGACGATGATCGCCTATCCTCTTGGGGGTTAGATTCCCAAATTATGTTTTTTCCTTCTCCCTACGAATCCCTTATCCTTTTGTGCCCTGTCTTTTAGATTGTAGGCCTGAGGGCAGAGATCATATTATTGTTGATCACTGTAAAATACTCTGGCAAACTTTTTTGTTGAAA